TTCTGTCAGTGAGTCAAGTGATAACTTTTGGATTCCTAAGGGGCCACTTCGTTCTTTATATTTAAAAAGCTCTTAAAATTAGGTGTTTGGAGATTTGGTCGCCTAAAATTTATCTTTTTAAATATTTACCCATGCATCTTCATAGATGAAAGAATTTTTTCAAGTGCTTTAGAGTTGAGACTATGAAAAACTTGACTATGACGAATATGTAAAAGTTAAAACTGTGCTTAAATAAATAAATATAACACCAGTATCTCTACCAAAAGCGAGATTCTATAAAGAAAGAGGAATTGATTAGGCTGTACCAGCCTTACCATGCCTGGCTGGTATAATAGGTAAGAACTTTTTATATCCAATAAATTAGGTATGTACGTACATAACATTGAAACTAGTGGCCAAAATAAGTGATTTTACAAGACTTTGATGGTCTTTTAAATTATTTCTTGAATATATATTTTTTTAATAAGTTTTAATAGTTATTTGCTTTTTTTTTAAACAAGGCAACCAGTCGGTTGTGTCATTGAGTTTTGCTACAGCTCAAGCATAACCGAAAAAACACATTAACAGCATGATCATCGTTACCAGAAACTTTTGTGGTAAATCCTCGCTGCAGCTTCTTTTTCAAGAAGTACCATGTTCTCCAGAAAACGGCGTACGCTAGAAGTACGTACGCTAGAAGTATTTATATACCTGCGTTTTGACTACTGAATATGATAGTTAGATAAGAGTTAGTTATTAGTTAGAGTAGAAATCATAGGGATTACGAATGACGTCCAGAGAAGGCAGTAATCTTTTAGACAACTTGTTTGCCTAGTAAATAGGGTATCAGGGCATAGTCCACCAGGCGGCCTCAGTGCGAATTGGCGGACTTCACATATATAATATTTTTTTGCCACGTATACACGTGTTTGCCTAGTTAATTCATTGATAATAACGGTAATGTTTTATCCAGTTATTAGTAACGTTAAATTGTCTGTGTTAAAAGTTGGCTTTAAGATGGCGGCTCATATCATTTTAATGATGTTTTATACAGTGTTATCTATCGCCCTTAAAGCGATATCTCACGACAAAGCGTCTAGCGGTGCATTCAGACCATTCAAGCGCTTTATTTCTCAGTCATTATTCGACACTACTGATCCGATAAACAAAATAAAATAAAAAAATAATATTGCATCATTGACTATTTAAATGTTCGTTATGAATATTCTTATTTAGAGATTTCAAAGTTTAATAATAGGAAAATTTAAATACATATATATATATACATGAATGTGAAAGTTTTTCTAATTACTTATATCGACTTTATAATTATGTCATTGTTTCTACAGTTAATAGTAATTTCTGGTCAATGCATTTTACGTATGGACATGTTTAGCAAATATAATTCAATACACATTGCATTTGTTAAATTTGTTAAACCTAAATATAACTATTTACGCTATAGCTTAGCAATTGAACTGTTCTGGTCTGAATCAAACATTGTAAGCGTAACTAGTAGTGTATCTTGTAAGGAATCGGTGAGAAATGTCTGACTTCTGTATATACAAACGTCAAACCACTGGGTTAGAATTGATTTTAAACGTTTATTTATTACCTATTTCACAAATGACTTCCGAGATCTTCGTGTTTATTTATAATAATCATTGTCGGACATATTTGTACACAACGTTATTTAGTCCCAAACTAAGCATAACTGTATTATAGAATAGTGACCCGCCCATGCTTCGCACAGATTTAATGTATTTATATATTAAAAGAGTTTTATATATTATGCATATAAACCTTCCTCTTGAATCACTCTATCTAATAAAAAAAACCGCATCAAAATCCTTTGCCTCGTTTTAAAGATCCAACTAAGCATAGGGACAGACAGACAGCGGGACGACTTTGTTTTATACCATGTAAGTAAAAACATACCGAACCTAAAAACTTTTAAACAAATTTCTCTTTTCTAAATAAATACTTTTTATAGATATAAAAAAACCCAGACACTAGTAACAACACATTATGTTTATCACAAAATACTTTTACAACTTCAGTATTAATTTTTAACATTAATACATTACAATTATTGTTATATTTTATCGTTTGAGACCGACCTTGACAATTCCCTCAAATCTATCAGTTGGAAAAACCAGACTCCAAGTATGTTTAATAATAAAAAAATGTAGACCTCAAATGTTGAAATTAATAAAATATCATTGATATAACCTTGTTTCACAAGAAATGGCGTGCGATCCACGCTATCCGAAAATTTTAAACAAATGTGTCTTTTATACTCAAAGGTGTAGAAAGAGATGGCTAATGCTATATAGGTACATATTTCACTAAATCTGTTTCTTTTCTCTAGGGAACTCTTTAATATATTTAATGATAGTATCGTCATTTTGTAATTGTTATAAAGGCTAATTAATATGTTTAACGGTGGTAGGGTCACGCAGCAGCCCCGCCTGTTGCACGAATGGACATGCCCGTTCGAGTAAGTACCACAACCTCACAGAAGGCCAGCGTAAAGTGGAAGTATGACAAATACTTTCGCGTTTCGTCTGGTGAGTGAGGTAGACGGAGCCCAATCTTCAAAAGGTTGTCAATTCATCCGTAAGATTCGGGTGTAGCAGATGTCCATGGGCGCCGGTATTCACTTACCATCAGGTGAACCGTCTGCTCGCTTGGCAACTTTTCACATAAAAAATGCGTACACTCGTCTTAACAAAAGACCTTATTTCGAGTGTAGATTTATCCACCCCCTCACTTCCTAACATCAATATAAAGTTTTAAGTAGTATAAATGTTATAGATAAGACCGTCGTCCCAACGATGAACATAGGTAATTGGCTAAACAATAGGGATAAGACATGGCTTATAAAAACGTTCCAGTTTAGTTTATTCAAAAATGTGTCGGCTCAAATATTTATTGCACGTTTAGCTATTACCTATTACCAACAGCTGAACTTGACCATTCAAATCTGTGAAAACTGTTTTTGTTGATTTTAATAATGCTCATCTGAGCTGCCTTTAAGACATTACCAAGACTTTACATACATTTGTACAATGTATGACTGGTTAAGTAGTTAAAAGTTTTCAATCTAATTTCAAATCAATGTATCATCAAGTGAAATGTATGTATTAATACTGCTTTAAACTCACACGACGCCTTAAAATCTTTAATAGCAATTTCACGCGTCTGTTACTTTCCTACTATGCGACTGGGTAAACGGAGTTATAATAAAAAAAAACTAAAACTGTCATATAAAACCATGTAGAAAATTATTGTTTCAAAGAAATCGTGTCTATATAGAGACAGAGTTTTTGATGACTAATGCCCGATTCTTATATTCAACGAATGGCCGTTAGTTACATAGCTTCGTAACTTTCGTAACGACTTGTAGATAAAAGGAGTGTACGTCCGTTCCTATATTAACAAAACGAGGCGTTTTCCTTAAGGGCCGTTGCATTACCTACGGAAAGTGAGTTACTGGCGTTTCGTTAATCTACAAGTTGTTGTGAAAGTTACGAAGCTATGTAACTAACGGTCGTTCGTTGAATATAGGAACCGGGCATAAGTGGCTCAGTTGCCAAGGCATTGGCTTCAGCGCTGCGTGTCGTGGGTTCGATTCCCAGACGCTACAATTATTTGTTTGACTCACAGATAATTGTTTTGGATCCGGGGGTTTGTCCACGAGGACTCTATGTTCGTAAAACGTCCACACCAAAACCTTCCACTAACCCTAACTTATACAACAAATTGTCATAAAATTCAGATAGAAAACTTAGGTATTACATAAAAATTTTCTTACTCTAACAACAAATGTTAGTTTACAAGAAACTCAACATCGAGATACTATATTATTCTCATAATTTCCATCATATTAATTTTAAACACAGTAAAAAATTTACAAACGACCACATAGCAAATTTCTTGCAGGAAAATTTTATCGCGGTAAAGCCCCCAAGCAGTTTCTGCTGCGGCTAGTATAGTGAAGTACAGAGGCTTCACAGAAGACCAATATAAAGTGAGATTATATAATATAATTTTTTTTAATTTTTGGGAAAACAAAACTTGCCGGATCAGCTAGTAAGTATATAAAAACTTAGCTTACTTATGTTTGTGTCCATAAAAGTCAAAAACTAGCCGTTGGATTGATATTTGTGTACAAATAATGTTTTGAACAAGAGAGTTTTGTTTACGAAATTAATCATACTTTTTATTCTGAAGTTACAACAGAAACGAATAAAAAATTCAAAATTCACGAAGCATTCAGCTAGAGTAATTTAAAAACTATTAAAAAAAAAACCATCAGGGCATAGTCCACCACGTGGCCCCACTGCGGATTGAAGCACTTCATTTCTTCGAAATATTTTGTTTATTTTTTCGAAAACTATGCAGGCTTCCTCACTAGCCGTGATAGCTCACTGTCCCGGCGCTCCGTTGTAATTCAAACTCGAGCAACCTGATAATCATCAATAGGAGTTCAATCCGCTGTGCCGGCACCAATTAAATTGTAAATTTTAAGTGTTTACTTGTCACGTGTTCAACGGTGAAAAACTGGATTTTAGCTTAAACTTGTATTACTACTAAATTAATAACAAAACAATAAAAAACAGTATCGTAAAAATAAGAGCATAAAATTGACTTAAAGAAAGAAAAAAAGAAATCCGTTTGTTACTAAGCTTTCATGCTAATTTTTTGACAAAAATGTGGTTCAGTGAATAATTTCATCTGAAGTTACTTACCTACGACGTTTTCCTCGTGTAACTTCAACATGTGTATGGAGATACTGGAATTGTCTTAGCGATTTGTCATCACCAGGAACGACTTAAAGAAACGTATGGTTCCCTCGCGTAAAAACCTGTATTGTTGAATGTAGTATATTTACATATACATATAATTTGAGTCATTTTGTTGTTCGACGCGACTGTGTGACCAGTAGTTATCGGACCTCTGTTGAGGACCGACGCTTTAATTCTTATTTAGTTAAATATTATAATAATAATAATACCATGTTAGGAAAGCTATTTGTGATAATATCAGCTGTACTTGCTGTCAACCTCGTAGGCTCATTTGGAAGTAAGTCCTTATTTTACAGTTCAAATTAAATAAAAATCACTTAAAAAATAAAATAAGTAAATGTGTTTTCCGTTGTTTAATAACAAACCTCAGCGTTCAATAAAATGGATTAATATTAATTATTCGCCTTGTATATTAATTTTTGATATTTAAGACGGACAGTACATAAATATTTTACGCATTCATATGACAAATTATTTAAGAAACAAAAGCGATGGACAAAAGGTCCATCGCTTTGGCCATAGATGTGACATCGATTTTTAAGAAACAAAAATTGTTTTCGTAGATCCTATGTTACAATAATGATTATCTTTTCAAAACAGTATTATAAAGATGCTTCTCAAAACATATTTCATTATGACAAACCAGTTTCTTCAATATGGGCGAGGAGGCAGGAAAACCTTGCAAAAATATTTAATTAAGCGTGTAACACGCTCGGGATGTTTGCTCTCAACCACATTCTGATAAAATGCAACTTAATCATTTTAGTTAATATTATAAATAACAAATTAATGTTTAAAAACCAGGAAGTCATGGTGAAGCATTTTGGCATTGAACTCATTTTGAAGGTCGTGGGTTAGATTCCCAGGAGCAAGCATTTAAGATAAATATGAATTGCTTGATTTGAAAGTAATAAATTTTCAAAATTGTGCGTTTAGAACTGAATGAATTTGTACAAAATCGGATGGCCTTTGCTTTCTCTACCTTGACTTGTTGATTTAGTAAACTTTTCATATTAGAGCATTTTTTGGTTTCCATGACCATTTTTTGACCCATTTGGACCACTTTTTCTCCAGTTTATACTTCAATATTTGGGTTGCTTAATAGATGGGGCCGAATTGTGCACCTAGTAAAATTTGAATGTGTGAACACATTCAAATTTTACTAAAATTTCACAACACAATAAGATAAAATATTGCTAATGAATTAGTAAATGATAATTGTGATAAGTCGAGAACTACGTATAACGATTTCAATGGGTAGGACCCATAATATAAATATTTTAAGATCTTGAAAATGTCTACTACCACATTAGTATCTCTACAGTTTATATACCTAACTCCTCAAAGTTGATGCTTTACCGATAAGTGAAAATTTATGTCATCTTAAATTTTTGATCATTTACATATACTTACAATATATATTTGCAGAAACCTGCAATGACTGCATACTTCTCTCCGAATGTCCCGGAGCAATTTATCTTGCTGTTTATAAAAAGACCCCTAAAACTGAGGGCCTCATCAGGAGTTCTTTATGTTCAACGGAAACAGTCAGCGACATTCCAAAGGTATTTTACAAAAGACGACAATCTTCTAAAATTTTAAAAAGGGACATGTTTTTCATAGTTTAGTGATTATCCCTCATCAGGCCCATTGCGTTCTAATTTGATCGAGACCAGATGGTAGGATTAATAAAAGTTCTAATTCAGACATCTGGTCCAATAAGTTATCAGAGTTTTCAAAGTTATGAAGTCTCTATTTCCTTTTAGTACATTTTGAAGGAAGGATTAAATTGTTTTTTATATTTTGTCTTAACACGATTGGTTTAATCTATAACACTAAAGAAATTCTGTCGTTGAAGCTTCGTTGAGCAACTTAATTAACAGTATTTGACGAAGAGAAGTACGTAACAATTCCCACGTCTCGCGAGGAAAAACATTGTTGTAACTGATCGGATGACTGCTCTGAGAGACTTCGATGTAAAGTTTAATAATACGCAGAAATGAGGTTAATCAAAAATCAAAGACTATTCAAATATAACGATAACCAATACTTGTAAACTATTGGATCGATTTGGAAACTATAGTAATAGACAAAGAACAGCTTAACAGCCGGCGACTCGGGACTTATTTTATTTATTAGGAAATATTGCCCTTCTGCGTAAAGACATCGTTCACAGCGTGGTGCTACGAAATATTTTAAATATTAGCTAAATATTAGCTTGTCCAGTGTATACTACGACTAACGATAATTATATCTTTTAGGACTGAAAAAAAACAGTTTCTACCTGCCTAACCTTGATGCCTGCCTAATTAACCTACCCAACCCGTCCAAAGCAAATCTTCATTATTCAAAATTGCATTCTTTGGTGGTTTGAGACCCGGTGGCACCGTTGCTTTTGCTATTGGCTTCGGCGTCGGGGGTCATGGGTTCGATTCCCAGACGGGACAAGAATTTGTGTAACCCACAGATAATTGTTCCGGCTCCGGACGTTTGTTTTCCAAGGAGGGTTGACGTCAGACAGGTGGTCGATCGTAAAAAACAGCTAGCAACACGAGTGATATGATGTGCCGACCCTACCTGAGTGGAAGATGATTATGATGATGTAATTAAAATAAAACGAAAGTTGTACGTTATCTATTAATATCACTTCACATCTCAACAGTATTATTTTCTCTTTTCTTAGATGACATTCTAATTTTGCTGTTTAAACTTACAATTATATCCGTCCATAATGCAATAATTTATGATAACTCAAAATCGTTGTCAATTCAGCATAAAGTTTTCTTTCCAAAATAAATGTTGAATCTTCTTTACAACAGATCTGTTGCTCCGAGTTCCCTCCCGCACCATCAGAGATAGACAACCATCCAAATTTATCATTGTTACCTGAAGACTGTGGTGAAATCGAAGGCAGTAGAGTCGTCGGAGGCGAGGTTGCCAGGCTCTACGAATTTCCATGGATGGTCCTAATTTCTTACAATACCCGTACGTATTCTCTTGTTATGATTGAATGATATTGCGTATTATCGTATTACCTATTACGTATTACCTAGCTGGTATTGCGTATTGATCGTTGGACTTAATGAGACCTCGGGTTTGAATTCACTCAATTTAGACCACCTTTTGGACAACGAGAACAAGACGTGGAGTTTATATATGATTGGAAATAATTTTCAGAATTATATCTAAATATAGTATAACCATAATAACAAATTAAAATTAGTATTCACCATTATACATTTTTCCTGTTTTTATATTATGATAATTTAATACACATGCAAAGCGATCATAGATAACTGGTTTTCATAATACCTCAGGAAAATAAATCATGGAGATGATCCCCGACGAAGACGACGACGAGGATGTGTTGACTCATATTTGACGTAATCTAATGAAATTGTTTAAATTAAAATGATAAAACTGTGTTATAAAACTTTATTATTTATTCCACTCAGGCTTCTTATGGTTGCAGGTTTAGGCAAGGAGTTCCTTTGTGGGGGCACTCTGATAAACTCTTTATACGTGCTCACCGCTGCTCACTGTATTAAAGATAGGAAAATTGCGGGTGTGCGCCTCGGCGACTACAATTGGGCAAAGCGTGAAGACTGCGACGGTAATACCTGCGAAACAAATATACAGGTAGTCCTAAGAATCGTTTGATAAATACATTTCTGTTCTCGATATCTTTTTTTTATTTGAAAAGTTGACAAGCGAGAAGGTAATTCACCTGATGTTAAGTGAATACCGCCGCCCATGGACATCTGCTACGACCGAGGATTACAGATGCGTTGACAACCTTTTGAAAATTGGGCTCCGGCCACCTCACTTACCAGACGAAACGCGAAAATTTTTGTCATACTTCCACTTTACGCCGGTCTTCTGCGAGGTCGTGGTACTTACCCGGACGAGCCTGCCCATTCATGCAAAAGCCGAGGCTGCTGCGTGGCCCTACACACTATTAGGGCTTATCTTTTTAACTCTTTCGTATATATTTCACGAAAACACGCGATATCTTACAAGAATTTAAATGCAATTGTGCCTTTAAATTTTTACGAACCATATCACATGTTTAATAATGTTGTTTCAGTTTATGAGCGGTCTATAATTTCATTGACTAGGAAAAGTTTATACCATTTAATACTGTAACATTAAACGGCAGATTTGTTTGCGATTTTGCAACTTTACTTAAAAACACGACGACCCTCAATTACAGGACGTTGGTGTAGCAGAAAGGATCATCCATCCATCTTATAGGGGACCACCTTTAGTCCGCAATGACATTGCACTTCTTCGTTTAAGAAGACCTGCCAACGTCTCGCTTAGTAAGTAATCATCTCGTTTCGCATCAATAAGCTATATACGACATATATTTTAGTATCTTTACTACTAATTAAAAAAAACCCTGTGTGTTTGTTACATAAGACCACTGTGCTTGACGTATCTTTGTGGCTGCTTAGCCTAATATTTCTTTACCAGCTGATATACTCGTTTGTATCTCACCGAGCCAATTTTATTTCTAGACAACAAGTGAACCTTTAAATATTTTTGAAAACAAAAAGTAACGATGATGGTTTATCTGTAAACATCAAGTTTATTTTATATTATGATAATCAATTTAATTACATTTATTTTTGTGTGTTATTCTAGAGAACATATCACCGATATGCTTGCCAGTCACACAGGAGTTAAGGGAACGTAACCTTGTCACTGACCCCGCAACTGTCGCTGGCTGGGGCTTGACTGAGAACAACACTGCCTCTACCATACTTCTGAAAGTTTTAGTACCCGTCCATACTAGTGAGGCTTGCAAACTTTATTACAACAGGCAAGTAAAACATTATGTATTAACAAAACGTTCATATGCACCAGTATTCGCACGGGATAGTTAAAGGACCTATTTTTATTCGTTAACAACAAATTTTACGCAATGGACAAGATTTTTATTTTAATTTTTGTACGTAAATCCGCAAATTCGTCTAATAACCTATTTTCTTTATAAACTAACCCGGCTAATGTTGTTTTGACATGTAAATTATTTGTAGTGTAGAAAAAATTGTTTGTGGTGGACCACCCTTAACATTTAGGGGGTTGAGAAATAGATGTCCGATTCTCCACCCTGACATGCACACAAAATTTCACGAAAATTGGTCAAGCCGATTTGGAGGAGTTCAATTACAAACACCGTGACACGAGAATTTTACATATTAGATTAAAAAAATATTTAATTTTTTTCTTTAAACAAAAAAAATATATTTTAAATTGGCTAAATAAAAGACCATTAAAATAATAAACATTAACATATAACAATTATACGTTTATGTTTTAATCAATAATAACGTTAATTTCATAAATAAGATTCTGAAACTTAGAAACTGTTATATATATGAAGAGGTCTGACGTCGTAATATATATATTCATAGATAAATAATCACAAATCCGTATATATTGAACATACATATATATATATATATATATAACTGTGGTATAAATATGTATCCTTACTAATATTATAAACGCGAAAGTTTGTATGTATGGATGGTTGCAGACATATTCGCGGGCAGCAGCTAGTAACTTATGACCGTGGTAGGGCCACGCAACAGTCTTCGCTGTTGCACGCACACATAGCACAGAAGTCCGTCGTGAAGTGGAAGTTTTAACTTCTGCGTTTCAACTGGTGAGGCAGACGGGGCTCACCTTATTATAAGGCGGCAACGCATTTGCAGCCATACGGGTAGTGCAAATATCAATTTTTAGTTATCACTTAACAGGTGAACCGCCAGCTCGCCCGCCACCTTCCCTTCTTCTTCCTTCTCACGTAAAAAACAAACAATATATTGAATTCTTACAGGAACGCTAAAGAGGACACCACAAAGAACATACTTTGCGCCGGGGAACTGGGCAAAGACTCCTGCAAAGGTGACTCTGGTGGCCCGCTGATGTTGGAAGGCGACTACAACGGCAATTTCAAAATCATACAACACGGCATCGTTTCACACGGACCAAGTCAATGCGGCTCAAAGTTTCCTGGCGTGTACACCGATGTCTCGTGGTTCATGAAATGGATTCTGGACACGATAAAGTCATGAACACTACAACGATTTGTGTAACTCTATGTGTGTAAACAGAAAACAATAAATTTTACAAGAAATGAATGATGTCTTGAATTTATTCGAATATTCGAAATATTGTTAAATAAAATTATTTTACGGATTTTTTCGCGTTTAATATTGATTTTAATTTATGACGTTTCGTAAACTTTTCTGTGTTGAACAGATGTTTTTACGTTTAAAAGGTCCCATAGTTAGTCCCTGCTACCGTCAACATTTAATAACTTATTTAAACGCTAAAAATCCGTATTTGTTTTATTTACCAAGAAATAATTTATACAAGTAGGTCATCGCCCCTAATCGTCGTTATAATACAATTGTTCTACTATTAAACACCAGTTAACCCTTTTAAGTCGCGAACAAAATACAAAGTTAACAAAAGTTGTACATATTTTTAACTTCAAGTGTACCAGACAGACAGAGCTCGCCCTTCCCCTCGTTGTCCTAAAAATAAGTTCTTCGGAGTTCAGTCGAAAATGGTTGAGTCGGGCGGTAATTTTTTCAGCGCTCCTAGTTCTGGAATCCTGAAAGATATATTAAGTGCACTTGTACCCATAACAGTTAACGCTTGCATCCATCAAAGTATTTTGGTTATGGATGTATATCCGTAATCTTATGCATCACAGTTGAATGATCTTACGTATCATTATTTAATCATAAACCGAATTTTGATGGAGTCTCATCTTGTGATCTTCAAGTTCACTACACACAAGATTTTTTTTTTATTAAATTGAAAGATAAAAAATAAAAAGCAAAGACAGCTCAGTGTCCAGTATTATACTTTTGTTTTTCGTCTGATGAGTGAGGAGTAACTAGGGTCCACTTTGTTGTAGGTGGCAACCCTACGGGTGTTGCAGATGCTAGTTCATGCGGTGACTTCACATCACCTTGCCACCTTCTTAATTCTTCCCTTAAAATATAATATAATATTCCTTATGCCTTCTTCCACATTAAACAAAAATCTTGAAAAGTAACGTGTACGATGACACGACATGAAGGAATGATCCGTTCTCCGATGGTAGAAACAAAGCCATCATAAAGAATACAGTATACTCGTATGTTCATACAGAATGTTTTAACAGAATGAATGAATCCTTATGTATCCATGATTTATTATCGTTATGTTTTTAACTGTGGCAGAGCCACGCTACAGCTTTTGCTGTTGCATGAATGGACAGGCTCATCTGCGTAAGTCCCACGGCCGCACAGAAGACCGGCGTGAAGTGAAAGTATAAAATTTTCGCGTTTCGTATGTTGAGTGCAAGCAAGCAAGCCATCGGGTGTTGCAGATTGCCATGGGTGGTGGTATTCATTTAACATCATGTGACCCGCCTGCTCCTTAGACAACTTTTCACATAGTAATAATCACTATCGAAGATTACTTCGCAGACATTTCATTTTAGTACTCTTGTGACCTTTTTTAATAAATGATACTGTAATAATTTGAAGTTGGATTATTTTATTAGAAGTGCAAGGCTGTCGATGAAGAAACACATGAGTTACATAATACATACACTACACTTTGCAAGAATCTACAGATACCTAATACAGTATTAGAGTTTTGATGTACACTACAACAAAAATTTCCTATTTACGATATTTGAGAAATTCTTGTGTTTTCACTCAGACGCTTTACCAACTAAGCTAAGCGGCCGATGATAGCACGGCGCGAAAATCTCGACATCTATCTCTTTTGCATCTTTAGCAATGCTTGGCACCATCTTTTACAACACCTTACAAAGAACATTCAACGATGAACTTTTTTAACGGAAGATGTCGCCATTGCTCTTAAAATTTTAGGATTATTTTTCATTTTATTTTTAGTGCCAGTCTTTGCAGTCAAGATGATGATTTAATTTATCTACAAAATTTACAATTTAAAGTTTCGCTACAAAGGTACACGGACCCACCACAGAAGCTGGCTCCAGGCCTGCCCCGATTGTAGCAGGTCATGCGGAAACGTGCGTCCATCAGGTGGAAGAGCGTGAACCGTTGCCAAATTGGGTAGGTGTGTGTGTGTGGTCCGTTGTCCGTGAAGTTGAACATGCGACGCACTAGAAGAGGTCTATCGTGTTATTTATGGCAGATTATTTTGATGTATGTTGATCTCAAATCACATTTTTTTTTTTTATTATTTTTTTAAACAGGTTACATTTAAGATAACATTTTCCGGTGTTGTATGACGGGCCACATTTTCCGAAATGAATTGTATTTTTTGAAGTGAAAACTTCTTACACCGTTGGGCACCTTTTGGGTGAAAAAAAAAAACCGTGAAACTTACGTCATCGTCACTGAACGCTTTCCATTAGCTTTTTTTATATATTTAGTTATAGATATGATAAAATACATAAATACATACGTTATACTTTTATTATCGTTCGGAGTGCCTATAAAATATGTACAATTAAACATTATACAATTTTAATTTTTATATTGTTCTTACGAGTATTGTATATGTTTTCACTTTTGTCACCCATGACACTGGCTATTTTTTTTTTATTTTGGTATCAACGCTATCTGTTGAGGAAAATACACTTAAGGTGGTTCGTTCTTTCTTACAAGTACATGGCGTTACGATAGCCGATCGTTGTTTCCCTTCATTTTACTTAGATTATTATTTAGTTTGTATATATTTGGATGCTCTTGAAATAAAACAATATAATATGAATTCTGTTTTTATTTTTCAAGTTTTTTTTTATTAATAGTTATTTATCAGATACATTCTGTGACTTGTTCACTATAATCTATATTTTGTCATCTGACGTTTCGCTTCGAATATGAGAACGGCTTTGTTCTTTTGGATGTGGAGGCGGCAACGCCCCAGGAAACAAGTAGGGATCACAGTCCACATCCTTAAGCATCCTGTCTTCATATTATGGCCTTTAGATTATACATAAAAACCTCGACCACTAGATTGGAAACAAATATTATTAAACAAATTGTGCCATTTTTCAATATTTTTTAATTCGGATAATCCTGCTTAAATTAATCAGTACCTGGAGGACCGAGCTTTTCTCGGTTTTTTTTTTGGTAAATCATGTATTTTGGAAATAAAAAAAAATAAAGAAAGCAATGATCTGATATAGAAAAAGTAAAAAAAAATAAGTGTGTAAATGATCGTGATACGAACCGCGGCCGTCTGTTTTGGGGCCGCCCGATTACCGACCGAGCTATTATAACATTTTTTTTGCGGCGAAATTTACCGTCATATTCGAATGGTATTTTTCATTCCCCAAAACAGGGATATAGGGACATTTTCTAAAAATGAAACCAAGCCAGATCGATTTTTCGCCCCCGAATCTACGCACATACTAAATTTCATGAAAATCACTGGAGCCGTGTCCGACATTCCGATTATATATTTATATATATATATATATATATATATATATATACAAGAATTGCTCGTTTAAAGGATAAGATATGTAATCAGTGTCAATATTTCATATATGTTTTATGTTTATTCGATTCCAAGGTGAAATATAAATTCGGGTCAAGTTTCAAGTTCAAGTTTAGGCATAACCTAGAAATAGGTTTGATCAAATATTATTTACGATAAACGACTTATCCCCTCGTGTTTTTAATCACTAATGTATTATCAAGACATATATCATTGACAAAAAGGAAAGAAGAAAAGAAATTTTTATCACAATTATTTTATTGTATAACGGCGACGATTTTGAAAAAAACTTATGGCCTTATAGTGTCTAAAATCCACTTCAGGTATTGTCTAACGTCAGTGTATACACCTGGTAAATCGCTGCCGCAGCTTAATCCACCATAAGACACAATGCCGTATTGTACAAATCTATACGTGTCATAATAGTTATCCTCCAGTTTAAGTGGGCCACCGGAATCACCACGACATGTATCATTTCCAGGGTGTCCTGCACATATTTTGTTTTCCTCGGAAAATCTGAAAAGATGTGAGTGCACTTTAAAATTTTTTATCCCTCCAAAACATTCTTTTATAGTAGTGGCGAAGACATTTTCGACAATTTTATCAACCCATTTTAATTTCATCTTAAGTGCAGAGGCTACCACAAAAATTTTAAATGATATAAAAATCAATAGCAAGTGAATCTAAGCTAATCTAAAAGTGAAAGTAACAATCTGCAAGAAAGCTCATTTCTACGTTCTTGCAGTCGTGAAAAAATTTGCGATAAAAAGTTTCGTCTTGGTTTCTTTAGTGCAGGCACAAGGAATAAAATTAAAAAAAATGAATGAAGCCTATTTTTTATGGAGTGGGATCTCCAACAGGTGGGTTGATCGAAGTGAATTGACTTAAATTGTAGCTCTTAGTTGTCTACCAAGTATTTGGCATTTTTGTAGTTACCGAAGGCAAGTGAAACAACTGGGTAGGGTTTCTTTCTGACCTGACAACTTTTGCAGGGTGTGGATGTGGGTGCGTTTTGCAAATGTTTCTCGAGGCTTTGTCAATATGTGCCCTGATTGGAATAGCGTGAGGGTTTTCCTAATAGTATTATATTTCCTGTCTGTTATTTTTCCTATATAAGATCTTTTTCCTTTCGATCATAAGACCCCTTTGGTAACGTTTTTTTCTCAATTAACTCGTTATTATGTTCCTATCGATTCTTCGACGGCTATAGAGACGAGAACGGAGGCTTACTATCATTTTTATTTTTAAATTCAAAGTGTGCGCGCGCATCGTAAAAAAATCACTCTCATATTGTTTTTCAAACGATCCAAAAGAAGTATAACTTCAAAATATTAACAATATTATTAAAGTCCACCTGAAAGAGCCTGGAGCGAACAATTCATTTCCAGAGTGTGTTATTATTTCAATATTCACTAATAAAGGAAATGCGTGAGTGTCGTGGAACATCAGGTTGAAACGAAGTTCCTACAGAATGTGTTATTGTTGATAAACGTATTATATTTCCAATAACTAAAAACTTTATCCCATTTACCTGTACTCTTTCTTAAATAAGTTTGAATTTTATAGTTAAATAACAAAAAGTTGTTAAGGTTACCATGGTATTTTCGTGACGATTCGGTCGTGAAATTCTTACACTTTTCTTAACATAGCCTCCATCCGCCAAAGCCATACCGCGCGATAAGAAACTTTGTTCCGTTATTTTAATAACACATAACCCTTATGTCTTTTAAATTTTTAAAATATTATGCAGTTCATTTTATTTATTTATTTTTCTAAAATATTTCCACATTGTTTACACTGTCGTAACAGTAACAGTCGTAACAGTAAAGAAGTAACAATATAGCAATTACAACATAATGACAATAATAAATATAAATGATTATAATACCTTAAGATGGTAGGTCTCTGTATTTCGCATATTACGAGTAGTAAAAAATTCAACTTACCCTGGGTAAAACATATCGCAATATGAATTGTTGCGTATCGCTAAGCCTGTTTTTAATAGCACATTCGATGGTGTCTGCCTTTCTGTAAGGCCCCAGCCAGCTACAGTCGCTACCTCTTCTACCAGGGTTCGCTCTCTCAAGTTTTGGGGTAATGGCAAACATATTGGTTTTATGTTTACTGAAAAAAAAAAACGTAAATTACGTCGGCAATCAAGCTAAAAAGGGTTATTGAATGATTAATGTTGTCTCTGATGCATAATAACTTTAAATACCTGTATTAAAAAACTTTTTTTTTTATTAAAATTAATTTACTATGCATATTATGTGTAATATGCATAGTAACTTAACGTAGGCATAATAACAAAATATCCTTAGTAATCAATAATTAATTTTTAATTCAATCTGGATCCTAATATCGATCTGATCCACTTCTATTCCAGCTAATAATTAAATTGTAGTTTTTATATTATAATATTATTTTAAAGGTTACGTTTTTCGAGTCCTTCGACAGTTACAACTGTAACGTAATCCGTTTTTTGTGGTTTGATGATTAAAAGGAACACGCAGCATAAGTGTGGCGTGAATGGGCAGGCTCGTCCGGGGAAATTTCACGACCTCACATGAGGCCGGGGTGAAGTGAAAGTATTAAATTGTCGCAATTCGTCTGGTGAATGAGGTACCCGGGGCTCACTTATTTAAGGGTTGACAACGTAACTGCAACAAGACATATGTTGTTGTCCATAAGCGACGGTAATCACTTAACATTAAATTTACCTCAGTTTCGAAATTTGATTGTTAAATTTTCAGATAAAAGAAAAATAAATAAATAAAAGAGCTCCATGTAGATTATCCACTGTAGGGTAGAGTAGTACAGAGGTTATCAGAGAATAGCCACGTGACCCCGAAGAGCAGACTTGAGATAGGAAACGACACGACGGAACATCATACAAGTTTCTTCGTCTTTTTCTATCACGTACGTGAGAATAACTTACTACATTAAATTAATTTACACTGATTGTTTCCGTCATTGGTATAAGAAAATCATTTAAAATACTTACTACAAGAAAAATTTGCTGGTGTCCTCAGACGCAAGAGTGCTATATCGTTAATCATTTTTGGGTACTGTTTGAAATTCGGGTGAATAATAGTGTCGGAAATAGGTAAATCCTGTAAAAATAAATCATATGAAAAAGAACAATACCTTAGAAATTTAAAAAAATGCACACGCCAACCCATTTAATAACACGAAACAGTTAAGGTTATAACCAATTACTTCAAAATAAGAGTGGGCATTAAATGTATTAAATTAAGAAATTATATTTGTTTTATTAATGAAACTAATTTTCTACGGGATGGTCGAAGGCGATCATCGTAAGCATTTTTATTGTTAACATTTAATCCTCAAATAATTTCTTACTTTATGCGTTGTACAGTGATTTTTATTAATCGACTCGCATTCTGGATTTTTCGTTAAGTCGTACTCGCCAACCCGCACCCCTAAAATTTCTTGACGTCTTACGCAATGCGCAGCTGTCAATACGTAACGGTCATTAATAAGGGACGCCCCGCATTCAGCCGCCGATTTACCATTCCCTGCAAATATTTGTGAGTTATGTGGGTAATGAATTTTTCCATCACTCCGGCTTCTTGCATGGTAAGTTCAACAAATTTTTGATTAAAGACTAAGTTACCTTGGTTTTTAATTTAAAAAAAAAAAAACAATTAGTAAATTAGGAACATCATCATGCATACGAAACTGTTTTGATTAATATTAACCACTGACATTTTTATAACCCAGTATTTAGTTTAAGGCATTAAAAGTCATATCAAGTACATATCGCAAAAACTATCTCTTTTACAGATTTTAATGAAATCTCAACGTTTTTTAATTTGTAATATAAATCAATCATCATAGAGATTGTGAAAACGTTGTAAAATAATTTGTAATAAGTAAACAATGCACGTACGCTTGAAATAAATTAACACCATCCAAGGAAACTCGCCGTTTCCTGCTCTAACCCCCCCAAAAATTTTTGTTCCGCGAATTTCCCCACACGTATTTGGCAAAAGATGTCGATTATAGTGTTCTTCTATTTCGTCGATATCGTCAACTTCAATTCTTTCCGTAAGGAAGTCTGAGCAACAAACCTGAAAGTGAAATATTAGGGAATAAAAGTTAAAGAATACATTTAACAACACTTTTCAACACATTATATGTTATTTTTTTGAACTCATTTTTCCAAAAAAACTTGGCGTACTTATCATTCGCGCGGAACTTGCTCATCTATTTTATTATATAAACCTCAAGTGCCGAGCGAGCAGGTGGTTCACCTGATGTTAAGTGAATACCGCCGCTCATGAACATCTGCTACACCTGTGGGTTGCAGATGCGTTGACAACCTTTTAAAAATTGGGCTCCGGCCACCTCACTCACCAGACGAAACGCGAAAGTATTATACTTCCATTTAACGCCGGTCTTCTGTGAGGTGGTGGTACTTACCCGGACGAGCCTGCCCATTCGTGCAACAGCTGAGGCTACTGCGTGACAGTTACCGATGGCAGTAGATCCGGATCCGAATCCCCCTCTCCTTTTTCTCCGAGATTAGTAAAGCAAGGACTTTTTCAAATTAATGTATTCAAAATTAGTGAATTAAATCGACTATACCGTGGACTCTTAAGTAACCAAGGAGGAAGTACTACGACGAATTGGAAGAGTCACGTTCTTCAGCATGATGGAAACGATCTCTATTCAAATCATAATGATAGGAAAAGTGGGGAGCAAAAGAACGCCGATCTTAATAGAAGAACATATGGGAGTGGAATGACGTGCCATAACTATTTCGCCATGATAAAGTGTGGCATTGGTTGTAGTAATGGAGTAGGCCATAGTAGTCACAGAAAAGCGTTTTTACTTTTTGTACAAATAATATGAAATGCAACCAATAAAATGAAAGGCTACTTTCATTTTATCACATTCTGCGTAAATTTTGCTTCCATTTTCTTAAGTTATTTTGATACTTATTTACAAACCTTCAGCGATTTTCTTCAGGGACTTTCAGAAAAAATACTAAATTTGTTTTATAATAATAAACAGAAATGTTGTATTGCTCATTAAACATTTCTATTGATTTATTGTACCGGTAATATTAATGTACTTCTACAAGCTGTATTAACAGTATTACTATATAATAATAATAATAATGATTTTTATTTCGTTTTATAATTTTTGAAGTTATACTTATTTAGGCCCGTTACGAAAAAATTATGAGAGTGAAATTTTAAGATGTAACACAAAAGTCACACCTTTGAAGCTGCCCGCTATTGTTTATAGATGGCAGCATACTCTCAATCACATTCGCCCGTTACAGTTATCATTAAAGAGTGTTGATGGCGCTTTCATAATTTTGCTCTACTTTTGAACATTTATATGCATGAGTATATTATATCTATGTAAACTCGAGTTCACTGTTTTGCCAAGGTCAGTTTTTGAAACGATGTTTTGATTTTATTATTCAACTTGTTTATCTTTTGATACGCCAAAGAAGTATATCTTCTTACGTGCGTACGTAAGTACACACAAACTTTTTTCATCTAAATACAGCTATATACTTTACTCACGTGCCAATCTTTTCCTGTATTGATTTTGCAAACCGAATTTTTGATTTTAGATCTAGTCTTCTCACTTTTGTCAGTTTTAACTAGGTTTATGGCTGGATCGCATTCCCATATCGATATGCAACTATCGCATTTTTCTGTAAAAAAATACAAAGTAACATCATCATAATTTCAAATATTTTATAAATATTGTTGGCATTAGTAGAAGAAAATAATAGCTCAAAGGCCGGGAGCCCTTTTGGAAAAAGCGTGTTACCTAAGCAATAAAAAATGAGTCAAAAAATGTTTTAAGTTAAATAGTTTATCGAAAATAAAGATTAAAATGATGTAGACAATGTACTAAAGGCCAAAAAAATAATTTGATAGGTCCTAGACACTACTCATCACACCACTCTCCTCATCAATTTAGGGCATTGATCAGACAAAAAATATAATCGTTGGGTGCGCGTAACCTGGGTAGATATGTAAATGGTGTATAGACTTAGCGGTTTAGTTGATAGAAATTTCACACGCCGAACGATTTTATTTCTTTGAAGTGTGATATAGCTCTGGGAATTTAATAAACGTAATTAACCATACTTTTAAATCAAATACATACTTTAGATATAGGACCCACTAAAAACAGTTATTCACACAATATTGTGTCCAGCTGTGGGGATCGATCTAATCTCATACACTTAATAAAAAATCACGTAATTCTCATACAGTTTGTTCACAGTTTGACCGTTGAGTTAGTTTAGCGTACTTTATGTACTTTCTCTCTCTTTCTCTATCTCTCTCTCCTGTGTCATGATTATTCCCATCTAATGGTGGGGTATGCCTTTCTGGTCTTCCATATACTTTAATAACATTTACGTTTATCGTGGTGGTTATTCAACCCGTCAGATTCTGCAGATGTCCATAGGTGGTGGAAATCACGTAACATAAGGTATACCATCAACTCGTTTGCCAAACTTTAAACAAAAAAAAACTATCTGCAGACCAACAAAAAACAACAATAATCACAAAAAGTTTCCAGCAATCTATGGAAAATAGAAAATTAGATGCAGTAAATTTTCTATAGAGAACTATATACTTTTTATTTTATTTATTTTATTTTTTATTTTAAGACTTCATGCACATAACTCTGAACATAGGCGGACTTAATGCTATCAGCATTTTCTACCACTCAACCTTAGGGTGGTACCGAGATTTTGAGGTAGGTGCACAAACATTTAAAACATAAATATTATACTAACTACTTTTTATACACAATATACAACTAAAACTTAATCTCTTAAATTTAAATGGAAAATTGTGTGCTCTATAAGTCATTAAATAGATTTATCAAATGTTTAATTTATAAAAGTATTTTTTTGTTGAACCTCAATTGAAAAGAACACTTACTCAGAGATGAATCGGCAACGATGAAAATTAGACACAGTAATACTGACTTAATTAACATTTCGGCCACTTATGCGAAAGAACATTTGAGTCATATAAACATGTACGTATATAACGATAATCATAAGCCGACTGTGTTATTTATCATCAACTTGGTGGCCTCGACTCCAAGTCGGTAAACAAATTTTAACCCAATAAATTATAATTATACAGCGTGTCGTTACCATCACGACAATAAATGAACACACGTCCAACGCTACTTGCCAATAATCATAAAAAAATATTAACGTTAAAGAAAATCCATAATTAAAAAAAATATATTTTTCAAACAAAATAATTAATTAAAAAAGAAACAAAATTTGCAACATCCTATACAGCTCGCGCCACAGCGTCGCATTACAAACCTCTCCTTCTAACAGTATGTTTTGTCTCTTTTAAATTCATTCAACCCATTCATATTATGCTTTGTGACCTTTACAAATGACGTTACAGTTTTATACGAATTTTACAGAAAATTTAATAACTCGGTAAATATTTATGTTAGAAGAATGTAAATGTTTAATACAATTTTAAAAATTTATCCTCTATATGTGTGTTCATTTATTGTCGCGGTGGTAACGACACGCTGTATAATGATGCATAATAAATTGATCAAAGAATGAAAATTAAAACACTGATATTTCTGTTTTTTTTAACTTTTCATTTCCTTTAACGGCTGGTTTCTATATTCTATCTACAGATGGATTTGGTTACTAGTGATACAATTTTGACGTGAGTACTATGGAGCTAATTTCAAACATCTCGCTAGTTACCTAATATCTGTAGATAGAATGTTGAAACAGGCTATACATTGCGAAGACTCTCAGCGTTGGCAGATTCCGTCTTGCGTCTCCAGTTATCGCGCCCAGACTCTTTACGTACTAAGTGGTCAATGACCTCATTGCGGGAAATCTCGATTTCTGTCTACTTTCTTTCTTTAGCATTTTAGCAATGCTTGGCGACATCTAGTGTACGTGCTTCACAGCATGCAACACCTTTCAAAGAACAACGATGAGCACTTAAATGAGAACGCCTTTGTTCTGAAATTTTTGAAATATGTCAAATCAAATCAAAATTATTTATTTGCTAGTTAATAGGAATAGATATATTTTATTCTTGGTCGATCTGAACATAAGAATGTCGATCGACATTGTGACGACATTTAGTACATTTGTACGCTTGTACGAAAGATATTTATAATACAATTAATTCAAAATTATTTGTGTACATATTGTGAATTATGCATTTGGCAAGAGAGCTGGCGGATCGCATGATTTTAAGTAACGAAAGCTGCCTATGGACATCAACAATCTACAAAAAATCACAATGTAAAGTTTCATATTGAGTTTAGAGTCTAGCACTAAAAATAAAAATGAGTCCTAAAATTTTCTTTACTTCTTTATCTATAAATAATGAGTTTTCTTATTATGCACTCTTAGTGTCCATAAAATATATTTTTAACAAATGTATAGATTCTGGAATATTTCCAGATCTTATGAAATTCAGTAAGATAATCCCAGTTTTCAAAAGTGGGGATAAAAATGATCCTTTACAGACCTATCTCCATATTGCCATCTCTGAGTAAAATTTTTGAAAAACTAATTTTAAATTAACTCTTAGTACATTTTAATATGAACAAAATTTTCCACAATGAGCAATATGGATTCACTAAAGGCAGATCGACAGCAGATATGCGGGTGTCGCACTTGTCAAACATATTTATAACGCCTGGAAAAGGTCACAAGATGCAATAGGTGTCTTTTGCGACCTTTCAAAGGCTTTCGACTGTTTAGACCACGAAACCCTCCTTCAAAAGCTAGATTATTATGCCATTCGTGACATCGCCCTCAATCTCATTGCCTTAGTAATAGAATTCAAAAAGTATCTATAAATGATGTAAATTCCGCAGGGTCCCCCGTGAAAATGGGTGTTCCCACAAGGATCAATCTTGGGTCCGTTATTATTCTTAGTGTATATAAATGATCTCCCCTTTTATGCCAGTGAGTAATGTGATGCTTTACAGTTTGCTGACGACACATCGCTCATTTTTAAGGTTGACCGAAACGTGTCGAATTATGACGACGTGAATAGTGCACTTTCGCGTATCCTCCACTGGTTTACCGTTAATAATATGATGTTAAATGCTAAAAAAACTAAATGCCTTCTTTTTACCCTTCCCAGCGTAAGAAGGCAAAGTTTTAGCTTAACATTAAATAGCGTAACCCTTAATCCTGTTGAGTCCGCTGTATTCTTGGGAATTACAGTGGATTCAAAGCTCCAATGGAGTCCCCATCTATCATCTCTTGCGAACAGGTTAAGCTCCGCTGTTTTTGCAATTAGGTAGGTTAGGCAGCTATCAGACATCGACACTGCCAGACTTGTTTATTTCAGTTATTTCCACAGCATCTTGTCTTACGGCATTTTGTTGTGGGGTAGTGCATCTGATATAAATTCTATATTTATCCTTCAAAAAAGAGCTGTCCGAGCAATCTATAACATCGGAGCACGGAATACACTCAGAGACCTTTTTGAAGAGATTAATATACTCACTGTTGCGTCTCAATATATTTATTGTAATATTTTGTATGTTAAACATAATATTAATAATTATCTAAAGAATAGTGACAAACATAAACTAAATACTAGAAATAAGGACAAACTAACTACGCAATTGTTAGGTCTACAAAAAGTAAACAGGTCGTTCATGGGGCAAAGTGTGCGCATGTATAATAAAATCCCACAGTCGATATTAAGTCTGCCACTTAATGAATTTAAACGAAAGGTTAAAAGTAAACTTATGGTTAAAGCATATTATACTATTGCTGAATATCTTGACGACGCCAATGTGTGGTGTTAATACTGTTGCTACTCACGTAGGCTAAAACAAGACTATTATACCTGTAACATTATATTGTAAACTGACCTTTTAAAAAAGAGCAACTGTTGAGTTTCTTGCCGGTTTCTTCTCAACAGAAACTGCTTTCCGAACCGGTGGTAACTTACGAACATATTAATTTCCTTGTAAAATTTCGACGTTTCATAAGAACGCGCAAGCTTCTATGTGAATAAAGATATTTTATTATTTATTTATTTATAGTGGTCAAATCACGTCAGTGCAGAGTCAAAGTCAGCGTAGTAGATTCAAAGATATCATTACATACGTACGGATAACGAATTTAACATATTTTGAATATTCGTGTAAATAAATTAATAACTCTCCGAAATTTATTAAGTTCTAGATTACAGTAAAATAAGATCCTACTCCGTCATTACATTGAATCACATTCATTTGAATTTTTGAAATTCATTGAATCACAATCACATTCATACATTGAGTCACCAAACTCGTATTCGTTTGATTTTTTTTGTCATAAGTACAAAAAATAACTACCAAGTGCTAGTCGGAACCGCTCACGAAGGTTTCCGTACCGTTATCTATAAAAAAGGAAAAAAAATCATGTGCGTAGTATGGGAGCCTCACTAAAATTTTTAAAAAACTTATTTTATTATCTTTGGCCTAACCGCGGCCCCAAGATCGTTTGCATTAGTCACAAACTGGACTGCCGAGAAACTGCGAAGAAAAGGGTTGCGACTCGTGGTATATCTGGATGACTACTTGATCATTCATCAGTCAAAGGACATCCTAAATTTCCAAGTACGGATCGTAATAGAGATTTCGTCTATTTTGGGGTGGTGCATCAGTTTGGAAAAATCAATCATCACACCATCTAAATCGATCGAATTATTGGGGATAAAATGGGACACTCAATACTCAGGAAAACTTCGAACGCTTGTCCAAAGATCAACAATGTCCGCCAGTGCCTAACGACTCACTTAGCAGCTGACAGTTAGCCTCAAGCAGGCACAACGCCTCTTTGGCTTTCTCAACTTTGCAACCTTCATCACCCACCGGAAAAGATTATATTAGCGAGTTCTTCGACGACACAGCAATCTAGTCCATCAATGACCGCTATCGCTTACTCGATCGAAGCGAAACAAAACTGGAGTGATGGCTTCGAAACATGAAACAACAACAGGAAATGTCCATATATTGCAAAATGTTTAAAACAAATTACCTGATCACAAATGCATCAGATGTTAAATGGAAATCAGATGTAAACCAAACGATGGTGACAGGCTCCTGAATTTGTCAACAATATCAATGGCATTGCAAAAATGCAAAAAATTGTACGCAGTGATAAGAATTGAAGAAGAAGAAAAAGAATTGATTGAGTGTAAGAATTGAAGAGCAGCAATCTCCTATAACGCTCTAGACCTGTAAAAATTCGATAGTAAGAAATATAAACATGTAGAAATAGCTTACATCAAGAACGAAGGACGTACAATATCACAACTTCTTTTGCCATTGATAAAGCAGGCTTTGGATGACAGCTTCAGTATTGTACTTATCCCTTATCACCTCCGGGGAATGTACAATATGGAAGCCGATTAATTGTCACACAGTCCTGACGGCTCGAAGTGGCACCTAAAGACGAAAGAGGTGGGTCACATTTTCAATCACTGGCGAGCTCCAGAAAGTCTATACCTTTTCGCTTCTCAGAACAACCATGTCGTACAAAGCTATGCTTCACGTGACTTATCGGATTAGAACGCTTGCTTTCACGACACATTCATCAGATCTGGGGACTAAAATCTAGCCTGGGTATTCCAACCACCATGCCTTCTGCCCCAAGTTTTTTGGCATCTCAACTCAGCAACAGGCCGTTTGGAGATTGGAAGAAGCAGTTCTGAAGAACAGGTCAATAACGAGCCCCAGGAAAAATCAAAATCTGGAGTTGAATTTGAGAGATACAGTGATTAAATTAGCTTATAGTTCTATTTTAATTCGTTGGTCTTCATATCTGCAATTAGCGAAACTGGTCCTAATATTAAAATATCATCAAAAAATCCCATTATGAAACATATATTAAAAGCAATCTTTTTATCTAAAGTTTTGTCCCCGATTAATGAAATGCTTACTGAATCTATAAAGAGAAGTATTGTCCACAAATAATAATACAG